TAAAAATGAAACTTCTTGTGATTTTTACTAAAAAAAAAAACGCTGTATGATTGTAGTCGGAACCAAGCGAGCAAAGGGGAGTGGGCTTTTTGGCAGATGGTGCTGGAACAAGTACACATCCATATGCAGAACCAAAAGATTGTTGTCTTTCACAAAAAGTAACTCAAAATAGCTATAGATCTAAATATGCCAAAGAACTGTAGCCCTCCAAGAGAGTGACACAGAAGAACATTTAGGTGATAGTCGGTTTGGAGGTGACTTTTTAGATGCAACAGTTAGATGCGAAGTTTTGTACTCCTTAAAGGAGAATGATGGGTGTTTAAAAATCAGAAAGCAAGATGGATGGCACCTGAGGAACAACACCTGCAGTTGCTTTTGGTCCCCAAATGTACACGTACACCACATGCGTGTACACAGAGAATGAAAAGGCAAGGCACATGGGAGAAAGTCTTTACAAAACACATTGCTGATAGTAGTCTTAAGGCCAAAATTCATGGGAAAAAAATCTTAAAACTCAAAAATACAAAAACAACAAAATGGAAAGATCTGAACTGACAGCTAATCAGGAGAGTTGTACTAGCCATAAGACATCCAGAGATGCTCAGGTCATAAGTCCTGGAGAGTTACGTTGTAAAACAGCAAGGTGCTCCTCACATCTCTCAGATGCTAACCAGAACAGGAAGCAGCAGGAACTCTTGCTGTTGGGAGTCAAAATGCGCATCCACTATTCAGCAGAGTTGGAATTAATGTTACTGCCAACCATGTGATCTAACTGTGGTGTGCCTGTTTATCCCAGAGAAATTGTCAAACAGAAATGTGGATGCCCTATTTATAGTGCCTTTGTCCTTAACTACCAAGCTTAGAAACAGCCAAGATAACTTGTCAGTGGATGAACAGATAAAATGGCATGTCCAGGTAATGAGGTATTACTGAACAGTTTGGGCTGCCAATCAGTGAAAGAGCCTGGGAAAGCCTACTGTATACTGCTAAATGAAAGAAGCCAGTCTGAAAAGATCATGACCTTCCTGAAAAGGCAAACCATAGAGACAGTAAAGAGATGAGTGGCGGCCAAGGCTGAGAAGGAAGGGAAGGGGCAGAGCAGGGAAGCTACTTCTCACGATGCATGTTGTTACACATTTATAAACAAACGAGGAGTCCTCATATAAACCTCGGGTCGTAGTTGACGGTAAAATACGAGTTTGACTCATCAGATGCACTAATGCAAAGTGTCCCCATAGGCCATGTGGGAATCCTGAATGACATTTTGTTCAGTTTTTGTTTAAACATGCTCAGTTGCTTCTTTTTTCCTAATGCTGTTCTGAATAAGCAAACCTTTAGGCCTGGTATGGCACATGCCTGTAATCCCAACACTTGGAAGGTGAGGCCAGCCTATATCACATACTGACCTTGTCACAAAGAAAGCTCCCTAGTAAGAATGCTTATGTCAGACATTTTTTTAAACATGTTAGTAGGTTGTGGGTTGTTTTGACAGGTTTCCTTACAGCTCTTTTGTAGTAATAAGGGCGGCAGGGCTGCGTTCCCAGCACCCCCGGCCGCCTGCCCGGCTAGCTTATGCCTGAAATAATTACACAGACACTGTATTCTTTTAATCACTGCTTGGCCCTTTAGCCCTAGCCCTTACTGGCTAATTCTCACATCCCGATCAACCCATCTCTAATAATCTGTGAGAACCGGTCTTACCGGGAAGATTCTAGCCTAGTCCATCCTGCTTCATGCCGGGAGCGGGGCATGGCGTCTCTCTCAGGCATCTGCTCCTGAGAGGGCTGTGGAGTCTCTGAGCTCACTTCCTCTTCCTCCCAGCGTTCTGTTCTGTTTACTCCTCCCACCTATCCTCTAACCAATAAAATGGGCCAGGGCAGTTCCTTTATTAGCCAATGACCTTCCTCCATCATTTCCCCTTTTTCGGTTTAAACAAAAAAAAAGGCTTTAACATAGCAAAATTACATATAACAAAACAGTTATCAAGTAAAAGTTACAATAAACTTTATCATAACTAAGGAAAACTATAACTATAACTAACTATTCTTAACTCCATCAAAGACTCCAGAAAGATATAATATTACCTAAGTAAACAAGAACTAAGAAACTTCAAACTCTAGAAATGACAAAGACATCTCACTGTCTGGAGAGTCACCCAAAGTTCTTTTGTACCGTTGGGGCATCCATCTTCAGCCTTCAGGCCCATGGTATCCAGCAGACATGTCCATAAAGCAGGAAAATTCAAAGTCAGTTCAGTCACTATCTGTTGTGTCCTACAGAATGTCTCACAGACTCTTTCAAAATGAATCAGGAACCCCGAAAGATCATCTCACCTTAGGCAAGTTCAGTAGTCCTCTCTCTGTGGGTTCTCTGTGTCCAGTTTATGCAATAGTCCAGGCAAGAGCAGTTTCTTGCCCAAATGGCTATCAAAACTCCATAACGAGCCTCTTCGATGCCCATCTTCCTCTTGAAGTAGATTGGTGCTGCCAGGAGCAGAGTGTCTCATTGTCATGAAAAGTCCTCAGTTATTAAAACATTAAATGTCCTATTCTGTAATCTTTGAAAGACATGAAGAATGTCTATCTAATATATATCTCTATATATCTAGAAAATCTAACTAACATGACTACAAGCTTTACTATTATCGATGATTATCCATTAACAACCTATATTTCTTAATTATACAGCACATATTTAAATGAACTACACAATCACAATACCTTAATCAAAATCAGAAACACTTATACATATAACAAAATTGACCTTAAATCTCTATCAATAAAGCAAAATCTATACTAATGTAAATTATTCATATCTATATCATATCCCCCTTAAAATGTAAAAGAACGTTTATAAACCATATTTGGGAACATGGGCGCAGTTTTTTCTCTCCAAACTGCTTCCTGCTGAATGGGGGCATCGTTAATTAGGTCTTTCATGGTATAACCTGTGTGCTAGTTTCATCTCAGTTGGCAGTTGAGCGAAGCCATTTTCTGAAGATATTCACTGCAACCCTTCAGGAGGGCGTGGTCCATCATACCAAATTGGAGTAGAAGAAATGAACAGCGTCTCATCCTCTGTGAAAACAAAATAAGAAACTCCTTTCCAAAGTATCATGTCCTTAGATCCAAATTTCAAATTTAAGGCATTTTCAAAGTATCTATGTTGGATTAGTTCAGCAGCATTTATAAACAAATATCTTTTAGCAGTTGTTTGTCCTTCCTCAGCATTCAAACAATTCAAAGAGAGCATAATAGCATACAGTATCAAAATTCTCTGTGTATTTTCCATCTTTGTGCAGCTGTGTTTTAACCTCTATTTTGTTTATTTTTACTTTTAACTCTTTGCTTTTTGAGACAGGTTCTCTGTATCTTTGACCTGAAGTAACTCTGTAGACCAGGCTGTCTTTGAACTCTCAGAGATCCGCCTGTCTCTGCCTCCCAGGCATTCGGGATTAAAGGTGTACACTACTACACCTTGAACTCACAGAGATCTGTTTGTCTCTGCCTTCTAGGCACTGGGATTAAAGGCGTGTGTTACCACACACAACAACTCTCTTCCTTTTTTTGTTTTTTACTTTAAGAACTTCAACTTTTAGTCTGCATATATTTTTAACACACTTTAAACCATTTAAAAATTTTCTTTGTCTTTGAATCTCTCTTTACTGTATATCTCTCTTTTTCTGACCACATGAGTCTTTAATTTACCAAGCAATGTCAGTAGGATTAAAGGCGTGGCTTTGCCAGCTAGATCCAGTCCATTCCTTAGCTTTCCAGCCTCATGGCTGAGGTACTGGCTGTAGCCAGCAAGCGAGTTTCAGCAGCCTGTGCTTGCAAACCGCAGAAACCGCCTGCGTAAAAGAGTCAGAATTTGTCCTGGCAGGACAGCCCAGAAAGCCGGCATTTTTAAATGGCGCAGCTTTTTTCCTGCTATGGCTGAAAACCGAAAAGCATGCGTTCAGCTTTTCATCAACACCGTTCAAGTGTTTCGTGGCAGGACCTCTTAATGAGCTGCAGGGTTTTGCAGCTAAAGCTGAGTCAGGAAGCCTCTCTTAGATGAGGCTCTTGCTTGCCTCTAGCAAGCAGAGTAGACCCGAGAACACAGCGAGTCTAGTTGCCATCAAACAAATCGTAGCACTTTACTCCAAATGCTCTATTCAAAAGCTCTGTCCCCCACAGGAGCCAGACAGAGATCGCAATGGTGGCACAGCCCCAGGAAGTCGCACTTTAAAATGACACAGCATTTTTTCTGCTACTGTTGCCGAATCAGAAAATCTCTCTACAGCACGCCACCAACAAACAGCAAAAATCTGTGTTAAACTCTCTCTCCCTTATTTTTAAGCCTTCTCAGGTTTTTTAAGTGGGTTTAGTCCATCATGTGGGGCACCAACTGTAGTAATAAGGGCGGCAGGGCTGCGTTCTCAGCACCCCCGGCCGCCTGCCCGGCTAGCTTATGCCTGAAATAATTACACAGACACTGTATTCTTTTAATCACTGCTTGGCCCTTTAGCCCTAGCCCTTACTGGCTAATTCTCACATCCCGATCAACCCATCTCTAATAATCTGTGAGAACCGGTCTTACTGGGAAGATTCTAGCCTAGTCCATCCTGGGTCGGAGCTTCATGCCGGGAGCGGGGCATGGCGTCTCTCTCAGGCATCTGCTCCTGAGAGGGCTGTGGAGTCTCTGAGCTCACTTCCTCTTCCTCCCAGCGTTCTGTTCTGTTTACTCCTCCCACCTATCCTCTAACCAATAAAATGGGCCAGGGCAGTTCCTTTATTAGCCAATGACCTTCCTCCATCACTCTTTGATGACTAGGGATGTTGGCTGATGGAACTGCTCCTAGGTTCCATGTGGCTGAGTGGTTTACGCTGCAGGAAGAACTCAGCCTCCAGCGTTTGACCCTGGTCTTTGTTGACTTTCTGACTGCTGTGTGCCATCTCCGTAAGGATACTGAGTGGGGAAAGATGAATTTTTCTTACTCACTCCTCTGCTTCTCTCAGCTGCAGGCCTTATGCACACATTCAATGCTCATGCAGCCACTGACATCACAGGCTTCGGGATTCTGGGCCACGCACAGAACCTGGCCAAGCAGCAGAGGAATGAAGTGTCGTTTGTGATTCACAACCTTCCAGTGCTGGCCAAGATGGCAGCTGTGAGCAAAGCCTGCGGGAACATGTTTGGCCTCATGCACGGGACCTGTCCGGAGACGTCAGGTACAGGCTCCTGTTCCCTACTCAAGCTAGGAAAGCCTGGGGCACCTGTGAGTCCCCACTTTGTATGAAGTCAGGCATGACAGTCACCTCTCCCTGTTGTGGGTTTGCAGTGCCCTCCAGTGTGACTGAGATGCTGTAAGTGTGTTCCCCTTTTTGATACATGCTTGGTGTGGAAGATGAGCTCAGGAAAGATAGGTCATATCTGATTCACTGAAAACTTACTCCTTGAACTCTAACACCCATAGATAAATTTAAGCAGTCTACTTTTTTTCTTCTTAAAAAGCATTTTAACTTGATGTCTTAGAAGAACATCACGGTGTTGCCTATTACTTGGAAAGCAGAGTCAGGGTGGTTACAAGTCTGAGGCGAATCTATACAACATAGCAAAGCCCTGTCTGTGTCCAAAAACGTAGCCAGGTGTGTCTTGCACATGATTGTAATCTTTGTGCTCAGGGGACAGAGGCAGGAGGATAACCAGCCCAAGCTGTGAACTGAGATCAAGTTTTAAACATACACAGTTGAAGAGTGGAATAGTATGGGGCTGGAGAGATGGCCCAAAAACCAACAGCATGTATTGCTCTTGCAGAGAGAGTTTCCAGTACTCACATCTGGCAGCTCACAACTGTCTGTAATTCCAGCTCTGGGGGAGCTAATGGACACCCTCACTCATGAGCATAGGCATGATTAAAAATAATATCTCTTAAAAAGTGTGGCATAGTGTATGTACTGTGCTCCAGGGTGTATGCATGTACCGTGTTTCAGTGTGCGGACTGCCCTTCGGGGTGTGTGGACTATCCTTCCGGGTGTATATACCACTTGAGAGTGTTATTTCCTTTTTGCCCTAAGTTTCTCTTTCTTTACCCTCTAGTTTTCTTTACCTCCTTTTTTTTTTCTTCTTCAGTTTTTCTCATTTCCATTTCATTTTCTCTATAACTACTTTTACACATGTTCCTAGACCCAACTCCCAGGAAACTGACCAACAGGGGCCTGAGTCTGTAACAGACTCTGGTATCAGGCCAGGGGTGGAGACCATGGAGCCATCTACCAGAACTTGACATTCTCAGCTTGCTGCTCAAAGCAGTGTTTCTAGAAGTAGTTAGAACCCCTTTAGCTGCTCTCTGGCTGGAGCAGTTTCTGCCACCTCATGGGCACTAAGTGAGCATTGTGTGAGTTAGTGGCCACAATCATTGAATTTGGTTCCTCGTTTTCTGAAAGTTTTTCCCTGGACACTTAGAAACTCAAAACTTTCCGGCCTGGCTGTTAGAAACAGGAAGGAAAATTGGTATCTTTGTGTTTTGCAGAAAGTTAAGAGTCAAGACTAGCGCCTTCCAGGAAAGACTTTCTCATGAATTTTAAGTTTAAAAGCACTGTTCCCAGTAAGATGTTTCCCATGCCGGGTAAAGGACCCCTTGTTGTTTATCTCCTAGTGTGGAGTAGGTCACTGCCCTGTGTGCTTCTGGCCCCGCACCCACACCTGTCCTTTCGCTTGTGTTTCCATGCTGTGGAGTAGAGGGTTGCTGTCTGTGATTAGATAGGTCATTTTCAGTTTGATGTTAGTGTTTGAATGTGGTAGGAGTTTACCAACAGATCACTTCCCTTATCTCCAGAGGGGAGCATCACCTCAGTGTAAGTCAGCTCTGGTGGAAACACCCAGAGAGCCCTCCCCTTCCCAGCGCCATACAGATAGTAACCTCTGCTCTTTCTTTGCCAGGAGGCCTGCTCATCTGTTTACCACGTGAGCAAGCAGCTCGGTTCTGTGCAGAAATAAAGTCCCCCAAATATGGCGAAGGCCACCAAGCATGGATTATTGGGATTGTAGAGAAGGGCAACCGCACAGCCAGAATCATCGACAAACCTCGGATTATCGAAGTCGCACCTCAAATAGCCACGCAAAACGTGAATCCCACACCTGGTGCCACCTCCTAATTTAGACAGAGATAGCTATTGGATTTTGTTTTTAAATAGATCTATTTCCTTTATCATCACTTTGATTAAAGACTCGATAAGAACAACAAAAATCTCATTGTGTCTACACATCTGGTGGCCCTAGGTCGGTTTGTGAGTGGATGCAATTAATAAAAAGAAATCCATGGCCTTCTTTTCCTATTACATTAACTGAAGATGCACCCAACCTCGAGGCAGCTTCTGAGTTGAGAATGATATTGTTATCCAATACTGTTGATTCATTTTGAATCTTTAGATGCGTATCTCTTGCCGCATAGGCGCTTTCTAAAGGTGCTTCCCACCCCAGACATTACTGAGAGCAGTGTCACCTGGCAATCTGTGTCTTCTCATGTCTATAAATTGTCTCAGTTGACATTCTAGAAAGGCAGAATTGGTAAGTGACGTGGTGGCCTCCCAGTCGTCAGAGGGTTGCATGAGTCCTTTGAGTCTTTGGTTTGTAAAGAGCTGAGTCTAACAACTCGAGGGCATTTCTTCTACCCAGGACATTCTCCAGTCGCTCACTCAGACTCAGTTCTGTAAGGTTTACTCTGCATGGAAAGCACTTAGAATTAAAAAAAGAATTTTTTTTTTAAAAGCTTTCCTGATACTTGCAGTAATACCATTAATGGTTCTTTACCAATAGGAAAAAGGATACTTTTTGCAATGTAATTAGATGTTCTATAGTGTGACAAGGAATTGCCTTCCGATAGGGGATTCATGTATAATACTCATTTATAATTCAATATCTAATTTACTTCGCAAATAATTTTTGAATATAATCAATAATGACTGTTCTGTGGATGGTAGCATTTAATACATTTTATATTTTGTATAGTGATTTCAGGCCTCTTGTTTAAAATCAGCAGCTTTTTAGCCTAATTCTTAGCATCATTTTGTCTCTGCGCCCATACTTTTTTGTGCACGCATTTTGTGATCTGTCTAAAACCTGCATTGCCAACATTGCAGCTCAAATTTAAAAGTTGTTATTCAAATAAATATTTAATTTTTTTAATTGCTCTTGTATAATCAGATGCCCTTTTTAGTATTATTTTAGAAGCATTTGGGAGGGTTTTGCCTAAAGTACAATTTATTGGGGAAAACTAGATTTTAGTTTTATAAAACTTTTAAGTCTTTCATGGGACCTATATTTTCTTGAATTAAATTTTGTAGTTTTAGAACAAATAGGCAGTCTACAAAGGTGTTATCTGTGTTTCTTAAAAACAACAGGGGCTTCCTCACCTTTTAACTTATGAAACAGCTGGGGTTCCCATCGTTAAGCACAAGGGCACTGGGTCCTCACGCTCCTGTCTCCAGTAGAGAAAAGCACCACTTCTCCAGTTCACAGTGCTTCCTGCTAACGGGCCCAAAGCTGCACTTTGTAAAACTCCCACCCTCACTCCTCAGCACAGAAAACCAGGAACCTGCCACTGGGCAAATGGAATTCCCTGAAAGGAAGCGAGCGGCTGCAGCGTGGCTGTCTCCTTCAGGAGCCGCAGGACCTCCTGTATCCACCTGGAGCTGGAACTGGAGCCACCAGAGTGTGGCCCCGAGCAGAGGAAGCTGTCACAGAAGGACATAATTGGACACTATATAGGAATCAATACGATGTTTGTCCTCGAAAGTACACACCAGTGGTCTGCAAAATAAAATGTGTTGGAATCCTGAGTGCAGAAAATACACTGTCGGGCTTGGTTCTGTTTTGTTTTTAAGTAGGTGAAATCGGAGCTGATCCTATCTGTTCCGGAAGCTGGCACTTGTCTTGGTGGCAAGCCTGTTGAGAGGAAGCTAGATGGTTAATACCCTGAGCAAATTGTCTTTGAAGATTCATTTGGAAAAGAAATGCCAGGGACTTGAGGTCCATGGATTCACGATCCAGAGCTCTTGTTTTCAGAGTGCTCATAAACCTGTGTTGGAATCGCCTGGGCATTTGTCACGAGACATTCCTGCCTTTACCCCAGACCCAGAGTCAGTGTTTCTTGCTGCGAAGCCAGGTAATCTCTCTTCAAAGCGAACCCCTTAGGGCTTTGTACATTAAAGCTTGAGAACCACTGATCTCAAAAGGGGTGTGGGGGTCCCTAGTCTTAGCCATTCTGTTTATTTCGTGTGTGGGTGTGTGCGTGTGTAGTTCCTTGACTCAAGTGTCTGTCATAGGGCTCAGTCTCTGTGGAACTCGTAAGTTTATCCCACAGTCACTATTATCTGATTTCTGGACCAGACTAAGACTGCCCTGGGCAGTGTTCATCTTGGAAATCCGTACAAGTTCTGTGATGGAGTTGCACCCAGAATAGTTGAGTAGGACGAATAGCATTGCTAACTATACCTGGAGAAGCTGGGCCCACTAGAGAGCCAATTCCCCTCATGTTGAGAGATTTTACAAAGGAATGTCAAAAGTTAAGCTGGTTATTTCCACAGTCTGGGTTGAAACCAATTGTTTCTAAGGAAAAAAATTGGATAATAACATACTTGTTCTTTTTGGTTCCGTATTTTGAAATATCTTACTTAGTCTTAGAAATTCTGCATGATTTATTCTTTTTTTAAAATTTATTTATTATACAATATTCTGTCTGTGTGTATAATTGCATGCCAGAAGAGGGCACCAGACCTCATTACAGATGGTTGTGAGCCACCATGTGGTTGCCAGGAATTGAACTCAGGACCTCTGAAAGAGCAGGCAATGCTCTTAACCTCTGAGCCATCTCTCCAGCCCCCTGCATGATTTATAACGAATAAGTGGAAGTATTTTGATTGTTCTGATTATATAAGTACATGAGTGTCACACTTGCAGTCTGAATTCAGCATCGCCCTTAAAAGTCTGGCGCTGCTAAGATGACTCACTGGGTACAAGGTGCTTGCCTCATCCTGATGACATGGGTTCCATCCCCAGAGCCCATGTGGAAGGCAAGCTGACCACATGCACACATGGCATGTGCTCACACTTGATACATTCTAAAGTATTTTAGACGGCTGAGTTCTAGGTCTTTGTCTTACTCTGTAGATACAGAAACAGTAGCTACACGCTTTTATTTTCAGAGGTGATTAGCACATAGATGCTCGAAAGACCTGGTGGTAAATCTGCACGTGCACAAACCCCATTTGAGCTGCTCACTTCCACATCTGATCAGCCAGTCGTGGCAATCTCTGTCCCTTTCTCATTGGGAACCCACAATCATGAAACACCAGGGGCCACAGTGAGACTCCAGAATCCTCTCAGTGGCGCACAAGCATTGCTTTGCCTTTGATTACATCCTGTCATGAATGAGCAGTAGTGGGGGGCTATCAGTTAAGCTGGGCAGCACTTCTGGGCATCTAGGCATGGTCAAGAACCACCGAAGCCAAGCTGGCTGTACGTGGGTATGATTAGTGAGTAGGGGCACACAGGTCTTGACTCCTCTCTAAGGTTTCCTGTACTTGACAATCCTCAGATGTCAACACGGCTTACGTTGATTGTCCCTGCTGGGTCATGCCGCCCTTAAAGGGAGTTTGATGCCCAGGAGAAAGGCAATGAAGCCCATCAAACTCAGTGCAACTGGGCCTGCTAACACAGGACTAATCCCGTATACTCAGGCTGACACCTCAAGTTCAAAGTCAGTCTGGGCAACCTAACGAGGCCCTGCCAAGAAAAAAAAAGCTTGGGAGTGTAGTTCAGTGGTAGAGTACTTGTCTGGTATGCACAGGCCCCAGGTTTAGTCCACAGTACTTGCAAAAACCAAACTTCCATGAAAGAAAACAAAAATAAAAAAATTCACTATGGTTCCTGTAATCGTGATGTGATTATGGAAAAGGCTGACATAGCTTCCATTATTGTGTTTCAGGAATAAAATGACGTGTACATGGAAATAGATAGGATGTAATGTTTATCATCCAGGTGCGTTTTGCATAGTTTTAAAGTCAAATTATATAAAATTTGATGTCTAGGATATATTCTTGGGTTTGGGTTCATCTTGAGAAATAAAACTACAATCATTTGAACCTTTATGTTTCTGTTTACTAAATGCTAGTTTCTGTTTGTCATACAGTCAGCAATATAAAAATTCAGGAATGGATATTTCTCAGATGTTAGATTAAGACAGCTTTCGGGGCACTTGAGACAGTTGTGAAATTCGTTGTCCCTCATCCATCTGCAGCTCCCAGGAGCGATGTGTGAAGCGGTGAGACAAGCTGAAGCTTCAGTGGAGACACCAAGGAACACTGCAAGCAGGGAGTAGAGCCAATCTGGGAAAGGGCGCACGGGCTACTGCCAGCAAGGCTGTAGGGTTGGGGCTGCTCAAGCCTTTTGGAGCATCCGTCATAACTGCACATGCTCCAGCGCTGGACCACAGCTACTGGGTGTAATGCTTGTCTGCTGAAGTTTGGTTCGGACTTGGTCTGACCATTCCTTGCTATTTTCCTAGTCCTTTTAGAGTGGACATACACATAATTAAAAATCATCTAATATTTAAAAATAATTTTCGAAGATTTTTTTAAAAAGTAGTACTTAGTCTCCCGAGAGCAGAATGCTAAGTGACGTTTAGCCAAAGTATTTATTGAATGTGGTTGGTGGCCAGACACTCTGCAGCTCCCTGGGGCCTGCTAGCAGCTGGAAACCAGGTGTTCAAACACGCGAGCCTCTGGGGGACACTGCACATTTCAACCACAAGCTCCACCGCATCAGCATTTCAGCTGTGGAACTCGCTGCTGCGGCACTGTCTGCAGTTTCATGCAGAAGTACTGCATGCAAGTCCAGACTTGTATCTGGAAGTCTAATTCCGTGACTCCTAGCTAACTGGAACCAAGACCCAGATGACAATGTGACACGGTGGCTGGTATCAGGTGCCTACTGCTGGTCAAGGCAACACGGCCCCTCACACCTTCCAAACCTGTCTATCTGCTGATTGGCCTGCAGAGTTAAGTCCATCAGAGTCCATTCTCAACCAGCTCATACTTGGAGAGACCACACTTGAGTATAGAGCGCAGCTTAAGGAAGCTGGTTTGCTAGAGACTGCCATATGAGATGATTCCTATAGGACCAAGCTACAGAGAGTATGTTTTCAACATAAGAAGATAACGTGTCCATTTCTGCTCCTACCCCCTTTCTTTAATAGATTTATTTATTCATTTATTTATTATGTATACAATATTCTGTATATTCTGTCTGTGTTATGCCTGCAGGCCAGAAGAGGGCACCAGACCTCATTATAGATGGTTGTGAGCCACCTTGTGGTTGCTGGGAATTGAACTCAGGAGCTTTGGAAGAGCCATCTCTCCACGCACCCCACCCCCACACACCCCGCCCCTTCCTTTAGAGATGAGTTTTCACTGAGATGGAAGGTGGCCTTCTGAGCTGACTTCCCAGTGTTGGGATGTATTATTTCCTTTCCTTCTTTTTTTTGGTTTTAATTTGTCTCATTTTGTTGTTTTTCAAGACAGACTTTCTCTGCGTAGTCCTGGGACTCACTCTGTAGACCAGCCTCGGGGTGCTGAGATTACAGGTGTGCATCCGTATCCCCAGAATTTCTATCTAATGAACAATGCAAGTTCACGTGGCTAATGCCAAGAAGAAGGTACACACGATGGGATGAAGGGAAGAGATTTTTCCAGTGACACTGGCCAGCCCTTTCTTCTTGTTTTGGCAGGCACCTTAGAAGTACAGGGGTTAGAGTTGGTAGCTCAGGAATATAGTGTTAGCCTAGTATGCCTGAGGCCCTGAGTTTGATTGATCCCTGGCACCACAAAAAACAAAAACAAAAAAAAAAAAAACCAATCTAGTTAATTTGAGTCAAAGACACAAAATATCGTGCCAGATTAAAGCCGGCCCTCGGATTCCAGCCTCCTGCTCTTGTACGCTCTCCCCCACTCAGATTTTATCGTCAGGTCATCACACCTTCCCTGCCTCTAGTTCTAGTATGAGAGCCCACTGCTCACGTGATCATTGCTCCGCTCTTCCTACTGCCCCTCGTACTTCCTAAACAAGTGTCCATACAGGACACTTGGTAACTGAGAAGTTCTGTGCCAGCTGACTGCGCTTCATTGCTTGCTCAGCAATTTGCCCTGGGTTTTTTGGTGTGTCTCAACCCAAATAATCCCATAAGTAACAATGTCGTTTTTTCATCTTCTTCCAGATTCATACAGATGTAGCTTTTAGTTTCTAGTTTAGGCCGAAAGATTAAAAATCTCCTTGAGCCGGGCGGCGGTGGCGCACGCCTTTAATCCCAGCACTCGGGAGGCAGAGGCAGGCGGATCTCTGTGAGTTCGAGGCCAGCCTGGTCTACAAGAGCTAGTGCCAGGACAGGCTCCAAAGCTACAGAGAAACCCTGTCTTGAAAAACAAAAAAAAAAACAAAAAAAAAAAAATTCTCCTTGAACTCCTATCTTCTCATTCTTTAGACAAGGTTTTATCATAGCTGATGTCAGACTCAATTTGGAGAAGGTAAGTTTCTCTTTGTCCCTTAATGATTTATAGGATGCTTGTCTTAGGCCACGACATGCAGGAATGTGACTATCTGGCTTTTCTTAAATTGTTCCTAAAAGACTGGTTTTTATGGGACAGAAACTGAAGTGTGAGTGTGTGTACCATCCTGCCAACCCTTTGCTACAGAATACTGTAGCTCAGTAGCTGTCATTTAAGGGGTGGGTTGAGGCTGGAGAGATGGCTCTGTGGTGGTTAAGAACCTGTACCGCTCTTGTAGAGGACCTGAGTTCAGTTTTCAGCATCCCCGTTAGGTGGCTTGCAGCCGCCTGTAACTGGAGTTCTAGGGACTCTGACACCTGTGAGCACCAGTTCTCACACACATGCCATCACACAGATACACACATGTATCCGAAAATAATAAAAAATAAAAATAAAAAAATAATCTGTTTTAAAAGAAAAGATGGGAGGCCAGAGAGATTGTTCAGTGGTTAAGAGCACTGGCTGCTTTTTCAGAGGACCCAGGTTCAAGTCCCAGCACCTACATGGCAGCTCGCAAGTGTAACCTTGGTTTCCAAAGATCCCACACCCTCCTCTGGCCTCTGAATGTACAGAGCCTATGGTGTGCTGCTGTGGGATATTTGATCACTGCTGAGACCGCATTAATTAATAAAATCAACCTAGGACAAGAGGTGGAGTCAGCAACTAATCGACGGAGTAGCCATAGAGAGTAAGAGGGAGTCAGGAAAACGGATAGAGAGGCACAGGAAGTAGTGAGGAGGGACTTTGAGTCTAGCAACCTTTTTGTGGAAGAGAAGCTCTCTTTCTGAGACACCGGCTAAGGAGGAAGGTCAGCTAGTTACACCTCGGCCTCTGAGCTGGCAGGTTTTCACTCCAGCATCTGACTGCTGAATCTTTATTAGTAAAATTATAAGATTAGGTTTAGTTTACAAGCAACATTGCACAGATGCATACACAGGCAAAACACTCATACATGTAAAAAGTATAAAAAATTGAATTAAAAAACCAACCAAACAAAATACCACAAACCTGTGATATTTATCAAAACTATACAGCTCACCCTAAGCTCCAGATCACTTCTGCAAAGACCCACTTTTCCAAAGCCGCTCAGCTTTGCCCTTTGCTGGGGTCTGTGAGGTGAACACACCTTGCAGGAGGGGTGGCATCTCTTGTAGAGCAAGGTTAGAGCTCAAGCCCAGCCTGGTCTACATAGAAATTTCCGAAGGAGAGAGACTGTTTCCCTTTGATGTGTTAGAAATCTCAGTGGTGAAGAAGGCTGTGGTGGTGCACGCCTTTGATCCTAGCACTTGGGAGGCAGAGGCAGATAGATCTGAGTTCTAGGCCAGCCTGGTCTGCAGAGTGAGTTCCAGGACAGCCAGGACTACACAGAGAAACCCTGTCTCAAAGAAAAAGAAAAAGGGAGAAGACTTCTCAGTGTCGGTGTGAAGTAGGCCTTCGGACATATACAGTCTGGCCCTGACCCCACTTTGCTGGTTTGAAAACAACCTTTATACTCGTTTTTACCAAATGCCTGGGAAGTGACATAGGCAACTTTTAAAATACACCTTTCAGATTTTATCAGTTTCTCCCAAATGTCTAAAGAGAACGACTTGTTAAATAGCTAAATTTAAGCAGCGAAAACCAGTAGAAACTGAAAACACCCCAGATCAAATTGTTCAAGAGTTGTGCACACCTAAGAGAATTTCATTTCACCGCTCTGGGGATGCACTTGAGTGGGTGGAGCGCTTGCCCAGTGTGTGTGAGGTCCTGGGTTCGATTTCCAGCAGAAGCTAGGTGTGCTGGGCATACCTCTAACCCCAGTGCTCAGGAGAGAGAGGCAGGAGGGTCAGCAGTTCAACGTCAGCCTTGGCTGCAAGTGAGTTTGAGGCTAGCCTGGGCAGCCTACATCCCTGTCTGAAAAGGAAAAAAGAAAAGAAAGATGCTCATTACATGAATAAGAAGCTGTCTGTAATCAACTCGAAATTGAAGAATTCTGAGAATAGATATGGATGCAGGCCAGGTGATTTGGTGGCAAGTTTCCCTTCTGTTGTTCGTTTTTTTTGGAAACAGGGTCTGGTTATGTAGCTCAGGTTGGCCTGGAACCCCCTATGGTTAGGGAATTCACCCATCCTCAGAATAACTTCTGCTAACGGTGACACAAATTGCAGTTTAATTCCTTCTCCCTGCAGTTCCCACTTTATACCAGGTGAGGGCAGTAAGAACCCTAGTTCCCAAGTGAAAAAACACAGCCTTTCCCACAGAAGTTTGTTTTCCAGGACGCGGGGTCAGGTTCCCGCCAGGAGCTCAGGCTGGACGGGTGAAGTTCGGAATTAACAAAGGAATCGGGAGCTTTAGCAAACAAGAGTCTTGTCCCAAAGGTCAAGGCCAAAGGGCAGGCTAATGAACTAATCTCTGCAACCCCAAAACCGGAAGTAGCTATGTGGCTACTTGTTTTTCTTTCTTGGACTATGAACTGTCACCAAATTATATAATGAAAGCGTTTAAGCAGTAATAACATGCTTATGAAGAAAGCAATCTATAAGGAACGCTCTACACTAAAGAAATCAGACAGATTGAGATTATGAGTAGTGGGTGAATTTCAAAGAGATTTTAGAAAAAGAGTTTTTAGCTATGTAAGATAGTTTATGTAATAGTGGGGCTGTGGTGGCAGAGGCAGGCGGATCTCAGTGAGATTGAGGCCAGCCTGGTCTACAAAGTGCCAGGACGGCTAGGAATGTTACACAGAGAAACCCTGTCTCAAAAAAAAGAAAAAAATTCAAAACAAAAAAACATTAAGTATTATACTGTACTAGTAGGCGCTTGTGAAATAACACGGCGGTTTAAAAGAGCTTGCCGAATAAGCCCGACCATCGAAGTTCTATCTCCTTCCACATGGTGGAAGGAAGAGAATCAAGTTCCGCACAGATTGTTCTCTGATCTCCACAAACAAGGATGCAAATACACGCACATAAATAAATGTAACAATCTGGGAGTATTTATTCCACACACTCTTAAAAATTAACGGCTAAACTTTCTAATATTTGAGTATGAATTCACACTAAGTTAAATGTCTCTTTTGAATAGCACAGATTGTTTTCTAATTTTTTTTTTTTTTTTTTTTTTTTTTTTTTGGTTTTTCGAGACAGGGTTTCTCTGTGGTTTTGGAGCCTGTCCTGGAACTAGCTCTTGTAGACCAGGCTGGTCTCGAACTCACAGAGATCCGCCTGCCTCTGCCTCCCGAGTGCTGGGATTAAAGGCGTGCGCCACCACCGCCCGGCTTGTTTTCTAATTTTTATTGGTTAGTCGTGGGAGGAATAGTCACATAAAGTGGTTGTTCATAGATTAAAACTACGAATCTTGAAGTGTGGTTTAGAACCGCCTCGGGTCGTCGGGAGACCTCGCCCCAATCGCTAGAATCTCCGTGTTTCGGTGCCGCAGGGAGAATCCTTGCAGAGTAGAACAAAACCGCGGCAGCACCGAGTGAGGACTCCCAGTTCGTCTCGGGAATCTCCCTTGACCCCAGCACCCTCCTTTCCAGGAGCGCGCCGGAGGTGGGAGGTGTCGCGGCATCCAGCCCTAGCCGGGCCACCCCTCCCCCGCCCCCAGGAGGCGGGGCCTTGCGACCTGATAAGTGAGGCCCAGGCCCAGCAGCTTCTTCTGGTGACCTCCACCATGGACTTTCAGCGAGCTGGAGTCCGGCTGCAGGTTGTTCTGGGACACCTCAACCGACCCTCCGCCCCGGCGATTGTATCCTTTGGGCTGCAGGGTGGGACGGGAGAGGGTGTCAGGCTGGAAAGAGCGTCGCCACCCTGGTGGTGGCTCCAAGGGCGCCGGAGAGCCACGGCGCTGGCGGCTCTTCTCGGTTCCCCCTGGGGAAGCGGGGAGGAGGCTGCATTCCAGTGTTCGGTGACGTCCTCCCCTCTTCCCCCCATCCCCAGAGGACCTTGTCCTGGCGGCCGGTGTGTGAGACTTTGCCGGGCCTGGGTGACTGGTGCGCGTCCTTGCCTGCTTGGCGCCGTGGTGGTTTCTTGCTTTGTGTAAAGCGAGAGGTGTAAAACTAGAGGTGGCGACGTCATCACAAAGAGGACTTTGCCATTTTCAGCTGCCTTGGCATTTTTCTGCCCTGTATTTCCCTACACCTAGAAATGCCGAGGACAGTTGCACTGTAAACAGAGGTGCTGAGCTGCTTGGCTGACGAAGGCAGGCAGAGGCAGGGATCCTCAGCGGTCACCAGGGGGGCACCCGTCGTCAAAAAGAGAAGGAGAGGGCGTGTAGGACTCTGCCCTGCAGGTAGAAGCCCCTCTCTACCTGCCCCGTTTCCACAGAGCTGTGAACTCCTGCAGGGACCTAGTGCTGCAGGTCTCCGGAGTTCTGCACTGGCCCCTAGAGTCCTCTCGACTTGCATAGTTCCTTGGTCTTAAGAAATGAGGGCTTAAGGGGATGTGTGAGGAAGGCAGAGAGATGCAGAAAGAGACCAGGAGTTCAGTCGATAAAGTGCTGGCTCAGCTAAATTCAGGGTTCTCGCCAGGCCATTCGCAAGTTTAAACTCTTGCCTGCAGGTTGGTAGAGACAGGCAGTAATCTCACATGATGCTGATGTAACCTCTCTTTACATTGAAAAACTGGTGGGGAGAGAGTAGACATCCCGAGCACTGGCACTGACCGGAAGCAGTGGTTAGACCTGCGCGTTATGTGGGGGTGGAATGCCACAGTCTATCTCTGTGTAGTGTTGACTGTCCTGGAACTCACTCTGTAGACCAGGCTGGTCTCAGACTCAGAGATCCACCTGCCTCCGCCTCCCGAGTGCTAGGATTAGAGTGTGCCACCTCTGTTGAGCTCACACTCTATTTCTTCTTGGCAATTGGTTGTAGGCTAAAATTTGAGAACTTCAGATATACTGGCATTAGATATATTTGAACTATAATTGGTGCCATCTCTTGCTACTTTTTTGGGGTTTTTTGGTTGTTTGTTTTGAGACAGGATTTTACTATGTAGCTTTGGCTGGCTGGAACTTGCTATATAGACTCCATTGGCCTAGAACTCACAGAGACCCACCTGCCTATACCTCTCAAGGGCTGGGATTAAAGGTGTGAGCCACCAAGCTCGGCTAGGTACTAAACTTTTAACTTGAGTCGGTTTTCAATTTAATTAGCCAGATGTGGCCAGCAGCTGGTGTTAGATATTGGACAGTGCTGGCCAAGAACCATAGTCAATATATTACTTACATAGACTTCTGGAAATTGTGGCACTTTCTCCCCAGCCTTAATTTGCTTCTAAGAAGTGTGGATTAGGGAAAACGTATATTCTGTATTTATATAATTGGGATTAAACTGTAGTCACAGCTTTTTGCGTCCACTTTTCACTTAAGTGTTCCATTATACAGTGCAGCATCATTAAACATTTCTCCGAGAACAAGAACCAAACTGCAGAAACAGTGGTGAGGGGCCAAGAGACTGGGCTGGAGAGATGACGCAGTGGTTAAGAACACTGACTACTCTTCCCGATAGACCTGGGATCAGCTCCCAGCACCCACAGTGGCAGCTCATAGTGGTCTGTAAATTTGGTCCTAGGGGACCTGACACCCTCACACAGACATATTTGCAGGCAAAATACCAATGCACATAAAATAAAGATAATTTTAAAAAAGAAAAAAAAATAGACATTTAATCCTGACAGAAGCCAGCACCTGTTAACTCTATCTCAGAAAATCCTGAAGTCAAAGGGGAAAATAAAAAAGGCTAACAAGCAATCCAGGCATGGTAATGCATACCTATAATCCCAATATCTGGGAGGTTAAGGCAGGAAGGAGGCTGAGGCCAGCTGACTATAAATCAACTTCCTGTTTCAATAAATGAACAAAAGTAAATGATAAACATGTTTATGTGAAATGACACTGTGGGGGTTGTTGGCTTGAGACAGGGTCTCACTACGCACCCTTGACCGACCTAAAACTCACTATGTAGACCAAACTGGTCTCAAACTCCTAAAAACCCACCTGCCTCTGCCTCTGCCTCTGCCTCTGCCTCTGCCTCTGCCTCTGCCTCTGCCTCTGCCTCTGCCTCTGCCTCTGCCTCTGCCTCTGCCTCTGCCTCTGCCTCTGCCTCTGCCTCTGCCTCTGCCTCTGCCTCTGCCTCTGCCTCTGCCTCTGCCTCTGCCTCTGCCTCTGCCTCTGCCTCTGCCTCTGCCTCTGCCTCTGCCTCTGCCTCTGCCTCTGCCTCTGCCTCTGCCTCTGCCTCTGCCTCTGCCTCTGCCTCTGCCTCTGCCTCTGCCTCTGCCTCTGCCTCTGCCTCTGCCTCTGCCTCTGCCTCTGCCTCTGCCTCTGCCTCTGCCTCTGCCTCTGCCTCTGCCTCTGCCTCTGCCTCTGCCTCCCAGGTGCTGGGATTGAAGATGCGTGCCCTCCTGTCGGGGTAGAAGTGACATTCTGAGAGCAGCCTTACATGCTAAAGGAGAAAAAAGGCTGTCACTAATCTGTAGACCCTGAGTGAAGTAAGAGCTTATGGACGAATTTGTAGCCTTTTGTATTTAAAAATTTACTTGACTGTTCAGTGTAGTTGGTTGTTTTTGCTCTTTTCCTCTTTTGGCTTTTTGGGGGTCCCACCACCCAGCTCCTAAATAAATCATACACAGAGGCCTATTCCTATTTATGAATGCCTGACCTTAGCCTGGCTTGTTTTTTTTCCTCCCCCCCACCCCCAAAAGAGCGCCAGAGCTCAGGACGGATGGACATGAGCCACCGTGTGGGAGCTGGGAATCGAACTCAGGCCCTCTGGAAGGAGGGAAGGAAGGGCAATCAGGTGATGAGTGCTCTTAACCACTGAGCTATCTCTCCAGATGGTGACTGGCTTGTTTTTTGCCAGCTTTTCTTAAATTATCCCACCCATCTTTGGCCTCAGGACTTCTATCTTTCTCCGTTCCTGTGTACCTTTACTTTCCTTCTTACTCCGCTTCTGGCTGTATGGTTGGCCCCTGAATCTTTCTCCTTCCTCTCCCCTTCTCAGAACCTTTTTTCCAGATTTTCTCTTCATATTTATCCCCTCTGCCTGCCAGCCCCGCCTATTCCTCTCTCCTGCCTCGCTATTGGCCGTTCAGCTCTTTATTAGACCAGCAGGTGTTTTAGATAGGCACAGAAACACAGCTTCACAGAGTTAAACAAATGCAACATAAACAAAAGTAGCACACCTTAAGATAATAATATTCAACAGTTTAGCTCATACTTTTTGGTGCCCTAATGACTGACGAACTCTTAACAGTTTAGACTGGGGTCACAAGAGGCAAGTACCTAAGCCCACACCTCTCTCCTGACTCCTACAGTGTGACCTTGAGGGTTTATTTGCTCAGTAGTTAGCAGAAGGAAATCCTGGGAATGGCTCTGTTGGGGGGGGGGGGGTAGTGAAGTGGCGGAGCTGGTCAGACTTCCTGTCTTCAGGCCCCACTGGAAGCTGTGGTGACAGTGACAGGGACAGCATGAGGACCAGTATTGCCTGTCCAGGGTTTCCCTGGAAACATGGTAGGCGGCTCGGGTTAGGCACTAAGCTTAGCTCCTTTCTTTCCTTAATCCTTTACCTAGGTAGCTCACCCTGTATCAGCGGCAGCGTCCCCTGCCAGTTGCTATCCTCAACAGTTCCGGTAAGGAGATCTCATCTTAACCTATGCTCTGCACTCATTCTGTCTAGTTTTATGATAAATTGACATAAGATACTCATCTCCGTAAGTTGGGCTGTTAGCAAGCCTGTAGGGTATTGTGTTAATTAGTGATTGATGGGTGCAGGGCCACCCCTGGTTTCTGTAAGAAAGTCTGCTGAGTAAGCCATGCTGAGCAAGCTATCACAAGCAGCACCCCTCCGTGGTCTCTGCTTCTGCCTCCAGGTTCCTGTCCTGTTTGGCTTTCTGCCCTGAGTTCCTTCCATGATGAACAGTGATGTGGAAGTGTAAACCAAATAAACCCTTTCCTCCCCAAGTTGCTTTTGGTCATGGTGTTTCCGCTCAGCGGTAGTAACCCTGACTAGGACAGTGGTAGCTGGGATAGAATGTCCCTTACAGCCAGGTAACAGGCAGCACCTGCCTCATTAGAACTCACTATAAAAACAAGTGGCTTTCAAGAAGCATTCTAAATGGTACATCTTCAGGGAACTTTGGAGAGCCCAACTTAAATTTTCTTTGTGTGTTCTAAAAAAATAGAAAATACATAATCTAACCCCTGAAAAATATAAGCACTGTATGTCACATTTAATTTAGCTTCTATTTTGGTTTTATTGACACATTGGCTGGCATTTTGAGTGTGTGTGTGTGTGTGTGTGTGTAAGGTTATTTATTTAATTTCTTTCTTTTGGGTTTTCAAGACAGAGTTTCTCTGTGTAACAGCCCTGGCTGTCCTGGAACTCACTTTGTAGACCAGGCTGGCCTTGAACTCGCAGAGATGCCTCTGCCTCCCAAGTGCTGGGATTAAAGACGTGTGCCACCACTGCCTGGCCATAGGTTATTTTTTTGAAGTAAGGTCTCACCAGGTAGGTCTTGAGCTTAAGATCCTCCTGCCTCAGCCTCTTGAGTAGCTGAGATTACTAATAACCAGAACCTGGTGTATGTAGTGCCTTGTTTTAAAAGGGTACATATAGCCACAGTGCCAACCTTGATGGGTGGGCTGGTTGATGTGGGTTTGTATAGACTTATGATCTGTGTATAGGAGTTTTGTTACTTTGGTTGCTTCTGAGACTGTGCTGACGGTTTAAAATGTATGGCCTGGGTATGGCGGTACATGCGTGGAATCCCAGACTTTACAAAAGCCAGCCTGTGCTGCAAAGTGAGCCCCTGTCCTAAGATATATGTACTTTAGTGTATCGATCCTCCGTTTGAAAGACAATTCTTATTAGCTTTAGGAAAAACTTAATATTCAGAATTTTGAACTATTACTGTAAGGCAACCATTGTTTGAAAACAAAATTTCTTTCAACTGCTCTGCCTCTGAGTGACATTTCCACAGCCCCTCATCTTCTCTCTCCCGCTTTCTTTCTCTGTGTATTGTTTTAATATGGCTTTAATCATATTCTATTATGACAAGTGTGTCCACATTATTCTGCCATTCATTTTTAACATCTATTGCATGGATATAATTCCTTGGTTAATATTTTTTCCAGTAATACTCTTTTTTTTTTTTTGGTGACCATATGTAACGTTTTTGGACTAACACTCTAACCTTTTCTAGGTTACTTTGTTAAAGCCATATAAACAGAAATATTGAATTTAAAAGTATGACTGTAGGCTGGGTGCGGTGGCACACACCCTTGGTCCCAGTACTCAGGAGGCAGAGACAGGCAGATCTCTGTGAGTTCAAGGGTAGCCTATGTATCTACACCAAGTTCCAGGCTAGTCAGAGCTACATAGTGAGACCCTGTCTCCCCCCTGTGAATGTATTTCAGGTCACTGGTAAACCATTAGCATGCAATTTAAAGTGGGAGCTTATTTGGCTATTTTTTCTTCTTTCTTAGGTATACTTTGGATAATAATGTCCTAAGCCTGGAGCAGAGACAATTTTATGAAGAAAATGGATTTCTTGTCATTAAAAAGCTGGTATCTGATGAGGATATTGAACGTTTTCGGTATAATGCTGCTATTTATGATTTTACCAAAAAAAAAAAAAACACATGTATTACATGAATGTGATGGTAACACAAGTTAGATTAGTTCAGGTTTGTTTGTGAGAGGAGTGTGTCTGGGAATTGATGGGTGTTAGGGTCACCTCACACTGTGGAGGCCAGAGGACCGCCCTGCTGTCGGTTCTCTCCTTCCGCCTTGTTGGAGACAAGGCCTCCTTTTTTGTCTGCCATTACCTAGTCACTGGCCTGTGAGCTTCCGTAATTCTCCTGCCTCTGAGCACAGAAGCAATCCAGGGAATACAGTTCCACACTACCGTGTCTGCCTTCGTGTGGTTTCTGGAGGGTCAAACTCACATTTGTTCAGGTGTTTTACTCACTGAGTCCCCTCCCCAGCCACGTGCAGATACTTTTTAAAGATGTGATTTGTTTGGGAGACTTTAGAAGTATGAGACCCGGAGCCAGGCTCTCTGGCTTGAGTCTTAGTCCTACCCCTAACGTGATACGTTCTGCGGCCACATGCGTATGCCTTGGTATCCCCACTTTTAAAATGGGATATTTTGATCCTACTGGTGTCTTAGTGCTGTTGGTGGAACCAAATGAGGTCAAGTAGATGGAGGGCCCTGGGACCAGGGCTTGGCACTCCAGAGTCGCTGCACGGTGTTTGCTTTTCAGATATGTTTCCATTAGGGATGTTCAACCTGTAACAGCAAATAGATTTCATCACCAAATCTGAAACCCCCTGGGTGATGACGTGGTGCAGTAGCTGCCAGATCCCACATGCGGCCTCATGTGCAAGGTCAAAGTCAAAACACAGATACACGAAAAATAGGACACAAAATGCCCGTAGGCCTGGGTGTAAGTTGTGGTGGGAACACAAGTGAATTGAGTGCACAGACCCGGATTCCAGCTCCAGGATATCACATTGTGCATATGTAAATATCTCAAGTAGTTTTTAAAAATCTGAAATCCAAAACACTTTGTTCCCAAGCATTTCAGGTAAGGAAGGGATGCGCAACCTCTGTTACTACAATGTCACTGTATCAAGAAACACTCCCCAGGCTAGGGAGATGGCTCAGTAGGTGAAGACCCGAGCTCTAAAAAGCCAGGAATGGCAGCACTGTAGGGGGAGCACTCAATGGCCAGGAAGCGCGCGCGCGCGCGTACACACACACACACACACACACACTTTCCCTGCTGTCTGCTGTGGGTGGGGTATTTTGAGGTAATGGTTCCAGGTAGAAGGCATTATCAATGAGCATTATTCTGCTAGACCAGAGAGGTTGTCCCAGAGTCTGCAAACCTCTTAGTAGGGCTGGGTAGGCGGTTGCTTAGAGTCCTTGTAATGACATTCTTTTTTTTTTTTTTTTTTTTTTTTTTTGGATTTTTCGAGGCAGGGTTTCTCTGTAGCTTTTGGTTCCTGTCCTGGAACTAGCTCTTGTAGACCAGGCTGGCCTCGAACTCACAGAGATCCGCCTGCCTCTGCCTCCCGAGTGCTGGGATTAAAGGCGTGCGCCACCATCGCCCGGCAATGACATTCTTTTTAAATCTCATTTCTAGAGCGGAGTTTGAACGGATCTGCAGGAAGGAGGTGGACGCACCAGGGATGATAGTGATGCGAGATGTGGCCATTGCAAAACTGAACTGTGAACTAAGTGAGAAGGTGGTTTCAAAGGTCCAGGATTTCCAAGAAAACAAGGAACTCTTTAGATACTGCTCCCTCCCCGAGGTGAGAGCCTGGCCTGCTTTCCCCGCCTAGTGGCCAGTCTACAAGTCTGCCTCCAGTGTCTTCTCTGTTTACTCAGTCAAGCACTTGCTCCTTACCTGTCGGCCTCATACCTGGTCTGCTCTACCCAGCCCCTGTCTACAGAGGGTGCTGGAGCTATGCTCTTCAGTGAAGGTGATTCTGCCCCACACTGGCGACTGACAACATCTGGAGACATGGACAGTTGTCATGATTGGGGTGGGGCGAGCTAATGGCTTCTACTGAGTAGCGGTCACTGATGCTGCTAATGGGACCAGAGATTCGATAATGCACAGAGGACTCCCCAGTCCAAATAGGGAACTATCTCACCCCAACTGCTCATGGCATCATAGTTGAGAGACTTTCCTGTGGAGTGTGTTAATTGTGTTTTGTTGTGAAAAACGAGAACCCTCATCTAAGACTCCATAACCAGAATATCAGTTACAAAGCTATTATTAATTAATTAATTGTTATGACTCTGGTCAGTAGAGGTATGAGATTGGGGTGTGTGTGTGTGTGTTGATGATCCAGCTCAGGGCCTTGTATACCCTAGTCAAGTTGTTGGCCCCTTGCAGGTTCTAGAATATCTAGAGTGCTTCACTGGACCCAATATGTGGCCACACACACAATGCTGATAGACCCCTGAGCTGCCAGCCCGGCATTTCTATTGGCAATTTTGTTGTTGTTGTTGTTTTAGACGGGGTCTTGCTCTGTCTAAAACTGACTCTGAAACTCAGGATCTCCCTGCCTCAGCCTGCTCTGCCATCTTGGTTCTTCTGTAGATCATTGTATGCTGTATCACTTGCTTGAACTTAAGATTTCCTATGAAGTTATTTTTTTACTGCTTTTTCCCGTTAGGTTCTGAAATATGTGGAGTGTTTCACTGGACCCAATATCATGGCAATGCACACAATGCTGATAAACAAGCCTTCAGATACTGGTAAAGCACTCTTCTTTGTCAGGGGAATACCAAAGTACTGCTAGATAAAGTGTGTAAAGTTGATGTTCAAAGGTAATGTGTATACCTATCAAACTTTAGATGAGGGAATGTGTAACCTTTTATTAACTCTTAAAACAGTTGCTATTAAACAACGCTGAAGAGTGATGGTGATTTCAGATAGTGACTCAACAGAGCTGCGCTCAGCAAGCAATGATTTGTATGTCATAAACTCCTCCTAGTCAATGTGTCTAAGCCTTTTCCTTCTTCTAGACAGGGCTTCCCTGTGTAGCCCTGACTATCCTGGAACTCACTCTTTAGACCAGGCTGGCCTTGAACTCTGAGATCCACCTGCCTGCTGATCCTCCTGAGCGCTGGGATTAAAGGCATGTGCCACTACTGCCCAGCATGCCTAACTGTATGCATAAGTATGCTCAGGTGTGTACAGGTGCTCGCACATGTGCGTGTGCTTATGTGCACGCAGCTGTTTGCATGTTGACAGTCTTAGTGTCCTCATGAATCCTGTCCATCTCCCTTCAGTGTCTTTCCCTAGCCTGTGGCTCCCCAATTAGGCTAGGCTAGATGGTCAGCCCTCACTGGGGAGCCTCCTGTTTCTGCTTCCCCAGTGCTGGGATTACGAGTATGCACTCTCATGCCTGGCACTTTTACAGGGTTCTGTCTTAGTGAGGGTTCCTATTGCTGTGATTGAAATACCATGACCAAAGAAACATGGGGAAGAAAGGGTTTGTTTGGCTTCCACTTCCACATCACAGTTCATTATCACAGGATAACAGGACAGGAGCTCAAGCAGGGCAAGAACTGCAAGAGCTGATGCAGTGGCCATGGAGGGGGTGCTGCTTACTGGCTTGCTCCTCATGGCTTGCTCAGCCTGCATTTTAATAAACTCGAGGACCACCAGCCCGGAGGATTGCACTACCCACAATGGGCTGGGCTCTCTCCTATCAACCCCTAATTGAGAAAAGACCCTCTAGTCAGGTCTTACGGAGGCATTTTCTCAATCAAAGTTCCCTCCTTTCAGATGACTCTAGCTTGTATCAAATTGATATAAAACTAGGCAGCACAGTGTTGAGGATTGAACTCGGGTCCTCATGCTTACAAGGCGAGTACTCTACCTCTATCGATAGCTCTCAGACGCTCTTAGCCGTGACAGCATGGACTCTGTATTTCTGACCTGAAAACATGATTATGAATACCAAAATTGAAACTATTATTTTTAAATCGCTCTTGAGTCCTTGAGACATCTTGTGCTTGCCCACATGTATATTCAAAGAATTCACTATGCCAGAAATAAAATCCAGGTGTCTGCATATTAATAACTAGCCCCAGAGAGTCTACTGTAGCCAGCTCTTCAGCCATACTGAGAAATCCTTCTGCAGCAGAAGCCATGAGAGCTGCTTGCCCTTCCCACTCTTCCTGTGTGACATGACCAAAGCTTATAACACCACCGTGTTTTTTTCCTGGGAACGTGGTTAGGGAACCAAGACCCAAGGGCAAAGCCATGGAAAGTGGCCATGTATTCTGTGGCAATAACTGGATACATGTCTGTTTCCTAGCCAACGACAACCTCTGAGAGAGCCTTCTAGCCTCTTCAAGGGGAACTGGAGCTTGGCTCCACAGAATTCCCCCCAATTGCATTAATCCAACTGTAGTAAGCTCCTTATTGAATGCTGCTGCCCCTGTGAAAACCCCAAGCAACAAAGGGGAAGTGTAGCAGAGATAATGAGGTGTGCATGCTGGAAGGATTGCTAACCAGCCCTCTAGAGATGGGGGGGCCTCACCGATGCTTCAGTTGGTTGCTTATCTCTTAAGACCGACTTCCTATGGCATTGTTTCATATGTTTGGGTTTGGTTTTTTGAGACAGGGTTTCTCTGTAGTCCTGCCTGTCCTGGAACTTGGTCTGTAGACCAGGCTGGCCTCGAACTCATAGAGATCGATCTGTCTCTTCCTCCTGAATGCTGGGATTAAAGGTGTGCACCACCACGGCCCAGGCATTTATTTGGTTCTGGTAGGTAGTTCAGTGTTCTAGGTTTTTAGGCAAATGACAAAATTCCAAGACTTCAGAGTTTTTGGTTTTTTTTGGTTTTTTGTTTTGTTTCTGTATGTTTGTTTTTGTTTGTTTTGTTTTGTTTTGTTTTTGACAATGGGTTCTGTTGCAGGCAAGAAGACGTCCCGGCACCCCTTGCATCAGGATCTACATTATTTCCCCTTCCGCCCCAGCAATCGCATTGTTTGTGCCTGGACCGCCATGGAGAACATTGACAGAAACAACGGTTGTCTGGTAGTGCTCCCCGGCACCCACAAAGGCTCTCTGAAGCCACATGGTTACCCCAAGTGGGAGGTAGGACTGCATAACTGCTGCTTCTGTGTGTGTGTGTGTGTGTGTGTGTGTGTGTGTGTGTGTGTACATGCTGGCCAGAGGGCAGCCTTGGGTGTCATTTCTCAGGCACCTTCTATCTGTTGATGGTTTTATTCGAGACAGGTTTCTCTGTAACTTTGGAACCTGTCCTGGAACTAGCTCTTGTAGACCAGGCTGGCCTCGAACTCACAGAGATCTGCCTGCCTCCGCCTGCCGAGTGCTGGGACTAAAGGCGTGCACCACCAGTGCCTGGTCTCTCACCAGGTAGGCTAGCCTGGTTGGCCAGTGAGCCCTGGGATCCGCCAGTCTCTTCCTCCGCAGCACTGGGATTAAGTGAACACTCACACACCCAGGCTTCCCTTTCTTTTTATCATGTGTTCTGAGGACCAAGCTCTCCTCAGCCGTCTCCTCAGCTCAGTGGCTGAGTCTCTCCAGAACCTTTTTGCTATTTCTGTTTCCATCTGTGAACACTCGGAGCCTGGGAAGGAGACTGTGTTTACTTTCATAGCAAATATTGTCTTGAGCTATATATACAGTTAGAACCAGAGCAAAATTGAGGATGTCAGGTAAAATAGCGACAACTATCCGTTCAACACATGTTTGAAAGCCAAGCCAATGTGGGGGACTTGGGTCACAAAGGCCAGTCATAAACATTTCAGCCCCAGACACATGTGATAAATGGCAAATTAGTCTTACCAACTGATAATGGAGTGAAGAAGAGGGCCAGACTGTTACCTGCAATTGCAAAGACCAGCAGAGACTAGAGCAATGGTTCTCGACCTGTGGGTTGTGACCACTTAGGGGGGGTCAGATACCCTTTTACATCCGGAAACACAGACATTTGCGTTATGATTCATACCAGTAACAAAATAACAGTTATGAAGTAACAGCGAAAATAATTTTATGGTGAGGCACCACAGCATGAGGAGCTGTGTTAAAGGTTGCAGCATTAGTAAGGTTGAGAAAACTGGTGACTGAGTTGAATATTGAAGAGCATGGTAGAGAAATTCCTTCTAGAAAAGAGGCATGGAGGTCAAGGGCAAGCACGGGCATGCCAAGGAGCAAGAAGAGCTGGGCACTCATGATGAAGATGGGTTGTGGGCTTCAGGGACATTGAAAAGATTAGCAGAGGGAAAACAGGCTGGAAGGACCAGGTTAGAGAAGACATTCACTCCGCTGGCTCTAGTTTGCTTGGGGCGCCTGGACTTTCCCTTTTGTAGGCAGTTGACAAAGCTTTCATGTAAAGAAAGTTTATTATACTCTGTTTAGAGTATAATTGTCATACAATTAGCTGTACGTATTTTTAGTATATAATGTGATCATCTTTGGCATGCATGCACATTGGTTACCATACTCAAGAGAATCAAAGTCCCTTTAGCTTGGCTTGGTGGAACATGCCTATAATCCTAGCATTTAGGAAACTGAGGTGGGAGAATGGGAAGTTCCAGGATGGTCTAGGCAGCATTGTAAGAGCCTGTCTCAAAAAGAGGAAGGAGGAGGAAGAGGAGGAGGAGGAGGAAAGGAAAAGAAAAACCCCTCTTCACCTGTTATCAAAAACAATCACTGAGCTGTTTTCCATTTTTACAGATTTGCCTGCATTTTGTTGCAGTATTCACTCTTTTGTGTGCCTTCTTTTGCTTAGCGTTCTTGAGATTCGTTGATGTGGTGTATGTCTTGATAGCTCAGTTCTTTGCATTGCCAGGTTTTATTTTGTTGCTTGGTTACACCCTGTCTTCTTACCCATTCAGCTCTTGCTGTGGGGAGCTGTTCTGCATCTATGAACGAGGAGCTCGAACCAGTTCTTCAGGAACAGTTACTTTGGGATATGGTACAAGAGGCACTGAAATTTAGGAAGCCAGAAGCAGAGAAGCAGGGGAGAAGCGCTCATTGCTTCAAATCTAAGGCCCAGAGATCCCCTGCGATCTCAGATGAGGGTCAGGGTAGATAGCATATCAATGGTAAAAACAGGGAACTGAGACTTTGGAGGAAATGGAGAATTTGTCTTAGGACAAAAAGCTTGGAGAGCTTGTCTCAGGAAGTCAGTTTCTGGTTTTAATTTTTGGCATGCTTGTGTGCACCACAGCACACATGAGGAGGCCAGAGGGCACCTTGCATGAATGTTCTTTTCTTCCACTTTGTAGGTCCTGGAGGTCAATCTTGGCAGTAACTACCTTTACCCACTAAGCCATCAAGCTAGCCTAGGATGGTAGCTTTCTTTTCTTTTTTTTATTTTTTGGATTTTCGAGACAGGGTTTCTCCGTAGCTTTTTTTTCTTTTTTCTTTTTCTTTTTTTTTTTTTTTTTTTTTTGGTTCCTGTCCTGGAACTAGCTCTTGTAGTCCAGACTGGCCTCGAACTCATAGAGATCCGCCTGCCTCTGCCTCCCGAGTGCTGGGATTAAAGGCGTACGCCACATCTGCCCGGCTGGATGGTAGCTTTCTTAAAACAATTCTATACTATGGGACATACTGTTATCATGTAAAACCATTTCAGTCTGTTCATGATGGTAAACCTGAAATTGTGAAATTCATCAGTTTAGGGTTAGGTGGGGCAGAGAGATGGATAGTAGGTGAAAGTACTTGATACAGCCCATTAATCCCTGAGCTCCACATGGAAGGAAATAAATGCCATAAGTTGTCTGTGACTTCCGCATGTGCTGTGACATGAATATCACCTCCTCAAACAGTGAATATATGCATATGTATTATATATGTATATGTAAACATATGTATGTTGTATACACACACACACGTATATACATATATGTATATATATATACTTTTAAGATTAGGTAAGGGTTGGTCTGTACCAGACATTTTCTTTCAGGTCACCAACCAGCTCCCAAATCATGACACAGAGCTTTCTTGTTAGTTTTGACTGCTCAGCCTAGCTTACTTGTTTCTGGCTAGCTCTTTTTAACTTGACCTGTTTATCTTTTGCCTCAGGGCTTATTACCTTTCTTACTTCTATATATTTTACTTTCACTGCTTCCCTATGTCTGTTTGCCTGGCTTCTTGCCCTAGGCATGTCTCTCATTCTCTTTTTCTCTCTCATTCCTCTTGTTCTTTTTTCTTCTCGTCTAGATTTCTCCTATTTATTCTCTCTGCCTGCCAACTCCATCTATCTTTTCTCCTGCCTAGCTATTGGCCATTCAGCTCTTTATTAGGCCAATCAAGTGCCTTAGGCAGGCACGTTGAAATGAATACAACACATCTTTTCATAATTAAACAAATGCAGCATAAACAAAAGTAACACATCTGTCACACTTCAGGTAAGATTCCGCAGCGTAAACAAAAGTAACACATGTGTACACACTTCAGGTAAGATTCCGCAGCGGAAACAAAAGTAACACATCTGTACACACTTCAGGTAAGATTCCGCAGCACAAACAAATGTAACACATCTGTCACACTTCAGGTAAGATTCCGCAGCGGAAACAAAAGTAACACATGTGTACACACTTCAGGTAAGATTCCGCAGCGTAAACAAAAGTAACACATCTGTCACACTTCAGGTAAGATTCCGTAGCGTAAACAAAAGTAACACATCTGTACACACTTCAGGTAAGATTCCGCAGCACAAACAAATGTAACACATCTGTCACACTTCAGGTAAGATTCCGCAGCGTAAACAAAAGTAACACATCTGTACACACTTCAGGTAAGATTCCGCAGCACAAACAAATGTAACACATCTGTCACACTTCAGGTAAGATTCCGCAGCGGAAACAAAAGTAACACATCTTTGCCTAGTTAAAGTCATATTCTCCAATATAGGTCCAAGGCACAGGGCTGGACTCTGGCTGACTTAACAAAGGGAATGATCTGAAGGCTTTCCGAGCAGCGAGCAGCAGCATTTCCTGGCCAGCTTAGCTTAGATAAGACCATACAGCTACCTTGCTGGGAGAAAAGGGCCTGGGTTCAAATTGCAACAGTAGCCCATAGGAAAATGTTTATTTCCTAAAAGGAATTTGGGATAGTCTTAGCAAGAATAGGATGCTGGGGCTGGGAAGACAGCCCCGTCACTAAAATGCTTGCCTTGCAAGCATGATTCCCAGAACTAAAAAAAAAAAAAAAAAAAAAAAAAAAGCTGAGCATGCTTGAAATCTCTGCTGAGGTGGAGACAGGCTGAGTTCCACGCCACTGAGAGAGATCGTCTCCAAAATCCAGGCATAAGTTTTTTACTTCTCCTCCCGGATACTTTGAGGTAGAGATTTATGCAAGCAACTCCAGTTAAACTCAGCAAGTCACACCCAAAAGAAAGACTCAGTAAGTGCCCGAGTGCACTCTGGTGTGACATTGTCAAAGAACAAAAAAAATGAAACAAAACGTATAAGGTAGACAGTAGCTGAGGGGCAACGCCCTAGGCTGGTCCCTACCTTTGTGCCTCCACCTCACAAGTGCCGGGATTTTTCACTATTCTTGGCTTACTCTGGATGTGACATGTTTTTGCACTCCCCCCCCCCCCCCACTAATTTGGGGAGAACAATTAGCTTCCCCCAAGCTACTCTAGACAAGTGAAAGGAGGCCGAAACAGGAAAATCTGGATTAGGGGAATGCCATGCTAGGAAAGAACATTACTGATTCAGGCCCGACAAGCCTAAGACAAGTAAGTGTGTTTGTTATATCAGCCAGGGCTCTGTAGCGGAACTGAAACCATAGACTGGATGGATATTTTATATATACATGTAATTTATCATATCAACTTACATTAAAATAACAGCAACAGTTGTCCTTTGAGGCTGGGTGCTTCGGCTGTCAAAATAGTCCCACAATGGCTGTCTCATGCTGGAGAGGCCACAGTAGTTGCTGCGATGTTGACCAGACTGAATATCTTGGCAGTCTGAGTCTGGTGTCCAAAACTTAGCTGTTTTCTGGAGAGTCGCTGGTCCTTTGTCCATGACATAAGCCTGGAAACACTGGTTCTAATGTCAGCAAAGGAACAGCAGCAGAAAGGGCAAGGGAAGATAAAACACAAAACGCAGCTTTTCTGTTGGTCACTCCCCTCCCTGCCCCCGTATTGACTGCTCCTCTACTCTGGGCAGGTTTCCTACATCAGTTAAGACAATCAGGACAATTCTCTGGCGAAGCTCCCTACCGCGGAGATCCTGAAAGGTGGCGAATTAACATTAAGACAAGCCTCCACTCACATTAACCAGAAGAGGCAAAGCCAGGCTGAACCAGTTATAATTAATTAGCTGTAATTGCACGTGTGTGGAGGTCAGAGGTCAGTTCTTGCCTTCCTCCATGGGTTGTGGGTGTCTGGGTGTCAGGCGCTTGTGGCAAATACTTTTAACCAGCAGGCCATCTCACGGGCCTAACATGGGACTTGTGAAATACAGACATCTGGGAAGATTCTGTCTATTTAAAAACAAAACATTGAGAGTCTAATTTGGACATGCTGTTGTCTTGGAGGGAGTTCAAGGACTCTTGTTTCCCCTGATAGACTGATGATGAAGTCTTGGCGTCTTCTCTTATGTGTTCTAGGGAGGGGTTAACAAAATGTACCACGGCATCCTGGACTACAAGCAGGACAACAACAGGGTGCACCTGGTGATGGAGAAGGGAGACACTGTTTTCTTTCATCCTCTGCTCATCCATGGATCTGGTCGGAACAAGACTCAAGGATTCCGCAAAGTATGTACTCAGATTGCTACATCTCCAAGATGAGCGGACTAGAGCAAAGATCTCAAGACACAGTAAGATAGCAAAGAAGGCAGGACTTTTCACTAAGGGGTCAGCTCCTTTACCAGGATATACATACATATTCACTCTGTTAGGCTGCTAACCCTGTGGACACTGTACCGTAATTGTTCATGGAATTACTTAAGAACAAAAGTAGCCTTTTCAGCACCCAGCAGCTGCTGAGGGTAAAAGCGATGGCTAAATTACTACAATAGTATCATTTGGAATTCATTTTACTCATTCTAAGCACAACAGGAGGGAAGCTTGTAATACCTTTACTACTGAGGAAAAACAGTATTGATCCAAAACAATATTAAGTTCCGAACAGCACACTCAGAAAACAGACTCAGTAGGCACACCTTTTTTCACTCCTGAGCTTCAGACTGTTTACAACTTAATACTTTGTTGCTGATGTTAAAAACTTCCCCACAAATGCCGCCACTTCTCACTTCCACAAGTCCAGTAGATCTGATGGCCCCGTGAGAGCGCACTTCCTCATGGGAACATCAGCGCTCCTTTGGGACTAAGTGGGACTTTCTGGCTCATCACATGGTTCCCACCCATCCTTCCTGGTTCTTTGAACCCCAAGACAAGGCACCAAACATATCTTCCACTCACTTATACTCCCACGAGGTTCTCTGGAGCTTGGGATTAGACTGAGGGAAGTGGAGACGCTGCCTCAGGACAAAATTTAAGGGACTGCCAAAAATTCAGCGGTCAAGCTAAATAATATTTTAATACATTAAAATTAAACAGCCGTGCCTCTTATTGTGTCAAAATTTAAAATGAGGCTGGTATGACCCACACACGTGCAAGTATGGGGTATAGGCATTGCAATACAAATAATATAAGTTTTGATATATACTGAACTTGCCCTTTTCTATATTTTTCTGGTGTCTCAAATAATCTAGAAAATACCCACCATTGTTTCGTAATAAAATACATATGGAAAAGCACATTTTCCCTTTTGTCTTGGTCTCTGATGCTGCTTGGTCTAGCACACAGGTTTACATAGGTGGTGGAATTTGAGACACCACTGTAGAATTCAGTATTTTGAGCAAAGTAGACAGTCTTTATGATGGATGTGGTCACCTTCAGAAACAAACTAGTGACAGGAAGGAGGCATTTTAGTGACTGCTTCACAAGCTGGGTTTGTTACAATTTTTCTTGAATGGGTAGAAGAAAGGAGTTTCAGGCTTCCTTCAGGAGGAAGCAAGGTGGGTTCCCGGAGCTGACGTTCAGTGCCCCTTCGGATTCGAGAGGGTGTGTATTCTTCTTCTGGAGCTATTTTCAGTTGCCACGTCTATTTCCACTAAAATAACGACCACGCTCCAACTCAACTGGGTAACAAAGTTGGCTGAGAAGAGGGTGAAGTCTGGTGTGTGCCGCACACTTGTAATTGCAGCACTCGGGAGGCTGATGCAGGGGGATCACATGTTCTGAGAACTGGGGGACAGTTTATGCAACATAGCAAGTTCTAGGCCAGCCTTAGCTATGCAGTGAACCATACCCCAAAAGAAAAAAAATGAGAAATAACAGCGGAATAGCATCCAGTTAAGGACTCTAGGATATGGGAAATTTTAATTACCCAAAAATATTGAAGATCTCTTAAGGGACTGGACTTCTTAAACATATCTTTAAAAAACAAGTATCCCAGCTAATTTAAAAAAAATCTTTTGGGGGGCTGGAGAGATGGCTCAGAGGTTAAGAGCATTGCCTGTTCTTCCAAAGGTCCTGAGTTCAATTCCCAGCAACCACATGGTGGCTCACAGCCATCTGTAATGGGGTTTGGTGCCCTCTTCTGGCCTGCAGGCATACACACAGACAGAATATTGTATACATAATAAGTAAATAAGTATTAAAAAAATAAAGTAAATAAAGATTTATTTAAAAAAAATCTTTTGTGGGCCAGTGAGATGGTTCAGCAAATAAAGGTCAGAGTTCAGTCCCTGGGAGTCACGGGATAGGAGAGAACCAGCCCCAAAGCCTGTCCTCTAACCTCCGTGTAAACATACACACACACACACACACACACTCTTTACATTTTTTAAAAATCCTTTGGAATTTCTCATCTAGCCCTCGGCTGTGGAGGAGGGGCTGAGCTATGCACGAGGAGACTGGCTTAGGATACGATAGGCCATCCTTCCAATTGAGAAATCAAATCCCAAGTGAAATACCCTTGACCTAGGAGGACTCTGCTTGTTTGGGGGGCGTCCTGGGATTCATAGGTCTCCACTATCAGACTGTCCTTTCTGCACAGGCCATTTCCTGCCACTATGCCAGTTCTGACTGCCACTATATCGACGTGAAGGGCACCAGTCAAGAAAACATCGAGGATGAAGTTAAAGAGTTCGCAGAGAGACACCACGGAGTTGGTAGCAGCATTGAACTTAAGGTATGCGCGTGACACCTCAAAGGAAACACTGGGGTTCTCTCTCTTCGGATTAACTGAAAGCATGCAGCTTCTGTTTGGTGCTCTCTTCAGAGCTGTCGCTGGGCCCACCCAGAATGACAGGGATATGGATAGTCAGTGTTGATGCTGATCAGCCGAGCCCAGCGAGTGGGCACATTCCGTTTGGAAAGCTGGTTTGATTTTGTCATTGCAAATGCAGGCTGCAGCCGGGCGATGGTGGCGCACGCCTTTAATCCCAGCACTCGGGAGGCAGAGGCAGGAGGATCTCTGTGAGTTCGAGACCAGCCTGGTCTACAGAGCTAGTTCCAGGGTAGGCTCCAAAGCCACAGAGAAACCCTATCTCGAAAAAAAAAAAAAAAAAAAAAAAAAAAAAAAGCAAATGCAGGCTGCGGGCTCAAGGATACCGAGTTAGTGATAGTTAGTGCGCCATAAGTCACACAAATGCCACGCTCCCATGCTGTCTCCAGTCATCTAGAGTATCGTGACCCTGCTTTAGAACCTGCAAAGGTGAGAATGTGCAATCTGTAATTACTAAAAATCTCAATAAGGAAATCACATTGAGCTGGGCGTTGATAGTACACACCTTTGATGTCGGCACTCGGGAGGCAGAGGCAGGTGGATCTCTGTGAGTCCAAAGCCCAGCCTGGTCTACAGAGTGAGTTCCAGGACAGCCAGGGCAAGCAAAAAAGGAAAGAAAGAAGAAAGAAAGACAGACAGACAGAAAGAAAGGAAGAAAGAAATAACTTTGGATAATTAAAGCAAAAGTAGCCATGAATGTGTCCCACATCTGAAAATGCTCTGATTTCACACTTGCAAGCCCTAAATTCTTCCCTTCCATCTCCCTCTGCCTCCCATGGATCACTCAGACTTGGGTCTGACAAGAATGTCGTCAGCCCTCCCGGTGTGAGGTTCCACATTTGTAGATTTGGTCAACTGAAATACTGGAAAATATTAAAAGTATTCAGGGTCTGGAGAAAGGCTCAGCAGTTAAAGGGTGAGAACTGCTTTTGCAGAGGACCTAAGTTCAGCCCATTACGGGCTTCTAATGACCTCTGCCTGCAGTTTCAGGGGATCCAATCTCTCTGACCTTTGTAGGCACTGCACTCACATGCCCAGACACCTACATCCTTAAAATAAATCAAACCTTTAAAAACAGTATTTGAAAAGACCACATGTAGACTGAACATATAGAGACATTTTTATCACTCCCTTCTTAAGCAATAACACATCGATTTACATGACATTTCATTCTGTCAGGTAGTATGGGTAATCCAGAGATGGTATACGCTATATGATAGGATGGATATGGGCTCTATTCAAATACTGTGCCATTTCATACAAGGGACTTAGAGTCCCATGGATTACAGTATCCAAGGTGAGTTCTGGATGGTACATCAGGCTTCAGGTTGGTCAAGGTTATGCTAAATGAGGCCTCAGATGTTGATGTTCATTACCTGGAAAGTTATAGTTTATCAGGTTTGTTTAGAAGAATAAAGCCAGCTCCTAGCATGTAGTTTTTTTCTAAGAGACAAAAAACCCGTGCATGTCACTTATGTCCCTCACTAAACTACAATAGAGCAGTCAGAATAGCTTCGTACCATTCCCTAAATATGCTGAAGGTTGATCTAGTGGCAGAACTAGGTTTTAGAACTGGACTAATTCATTCTTTCTATACACCTTATTATGACTTGCTCAAAAATAATAAATCAGAAAATATAAATTGTATTATTAGAAGCTAGCTCTTATAATTGCAGTACTCAGGAGGCCAAGGCAGGAAGACTTTGCCTGTGCTACCTGATGGGTTCTAGGCTGACTTGGGCTACAGGGTGAGACTCTGTCAAAAATAAAAACTATTCCAGCAAGGTGACTCAGAAAGTAAAGGTGATTCCTCCAAGCCTGAGGGCCTGAGTTCACCTCCTGCCACCCACACAGTAGAAGGCGAGAACCAGTTCCCACCAGTTGTCTTCTGCCCCCACCTGTACTCCAACTCACACGCTCGTGTGCACATGCACACACATGCACACACACATGCACACACATGCACACACACATGCACACACATGCACACACACAAGTGCAAATAAATAAATACATAAGTAAAATGTAATAAAAAACAAACAACAACAATAAAAACAAAGGGGGTGGAACAAAATTTAAAAACAAATTAGTAAGCCGTGGCATCTTTTCCACTATTATAATCTAATCTTGAGTAGAATTTTCAATGCTTCAGGCAGATGATGTCAGCAGAAAGACAGCAGTTTTTACCATGGCCGAGTTGCAGTATCTGCCATTAGCGCCTGTGTCAAATTAGTCCAGGCGGGTAGCTGGGAACCTATGGACCTAGTGTAGTTAGCACTATTTCAGATACTGGTAGGTGGGGTGACTGGAGTCCCAGAATATGTTCTGTTTACTAATCAATATAACTATTAATATTTTCCCTGTTTAGTCATTTGTAGAGAGTTGAACCCTCTTCTTCGCGGAGAGTAGGCCAATGGAAGTGTTTCACACACTTTATTTGATATTGTTTCAGGATATTTGGATGTTTCGAAGCAGATCTGTGAAAGGAGAAAGAATAAACCTTTGAAATAGCGCTTCGAGAGTGAGGTATGGAGATACGTGCCTATGATCTTAACATTCAAGAGACAAGACAGGAGCATCGAGAGTTCGAGTACAGCCTGGACTACATAGCAAAATACTGTCTCCTCCCCTTACCCCCATAAAAAAGAAGAATTATCACTTCATTGTAATTCTTTTAAAGGAAACATCAAAGCAAGACCTCTAAGGAAAACGTTTTCTTATTGAGATGATGATATCTTTTCTACCACCTGTTTACAAAATCAAGACACACATCCTGGGGACTTCACTGCCCAGATTTAATTATGTGATGCTGTTGCTTAATTGAGTGAAATTACTGTTTTAAGAAAAACTAACTTGGGGTATGACTAATAAAGGTGACCGACTATACTTGAAGTGTTTCCAATCATTTTCTTTCATTCCACAGACACTTTGCCCAAGCAGAAATGATTTCTTGGGAGTTCAGGCTACATCCGGTTGTATATTCCTCCCCTCATGAACCCACCCCCTACCAGTTTCATGTCCTGAGAGGCTTGTGTTCTAGTCTAGAACACATAGTGAACATTCACAGTGACCGACGGGCAAAGGAGGGCAGTGTGGAGTCTACAGAGGTTGAGCCTGGGTTTCTGACACATGCTTCCTTGCAAGGCTTCAACCCAACACCTTCCATGAAACACAGACTAGTCATCTCCCGTGGTTTCCTTTGGTGCTGAGCAGTGAAGACAAGAGTGCCTTGTCTGTGTTTGCTGTCGGGCAGGGCAGCTGAAACCCTTCAACAGTATTAGGGAACCCTCCCTTTCACACACAGGCCTTTTGATTCTATTAGCATTGGAGTATGGACTCAGGGAGACTCTTGCGATCTATTTCCACACCAGCTGGAGGCAGCAGGGAGGTGTGTGCCTTAGTTTTCAAAATTATGGTTAGGGCTTTGGTGAGGAAAAAAATAGCAGGTTCCTTTCTGGATATTATGCCGAGCACCAGTTTCACTGTTTGGCGCTTATCAGTTTCTTTATCAAGACAGGCACCCCCTTTAAGCCTACCTTCAGTGAACCCAGAACTTTGGGCATGCTAGGCAAGTGCCCTTCATTTTTATTTATTTTAGACAGGCCATGCTGAATTTCCCAGAAGGCTTGGAACCGCGTAGCCCAGGCTGGCCCTGAACTTGAAATCCTCACACTTGCAGGGCAGCTTTACCCAGCAAGCCGCCTCCCAGCCCCACATTTGATTGCTTATTATTTATTATGCCTTACTTTCTGGCACCGTGAGTGCCTCCTGCTATTGCTCTGGGCTCTACTGTCCAATCAGCCACTTCTACAAAGAGCCTCGGCTCCTTCTTCTGGCCAATGGTATTAGAACCAAGAATCTAGGTGCAGGGTCTAGGTGCTGGTGCCCGATCTGGGTGTAAGTGCCCGATCTGGGTGTGGGTGCCCAATCTGGGTGTGGGTGTGCTCCTAGTGCTCTGTGCTCACACTCTTCTGTGACAATTGTGCACTTCAATGCTTTGACTCCCCTGCCGCAGTACCACTGGAGGGTGACAGACACCTGGTCTCAGAGTGCCAGATCTAAATGTTTCTGTCTGTTCTTAGAGAGCCCCCCCCCCCAGTACCATCTGGTCCCCGAGATTGTCAGACTTTTATCTGTTCTCCTTGAAGGTGGTCATTTTCTGGAACATGCTGTGCGGGATGGAGATGAAGGAACAGAACCTTTGCATTTGCTTGATTCCAATTGAACTACACAAATGTGTGACCTATTTGGAAACTAGAATGCATTGTAAACTGAAGCAATGAATAGGCAGAAAGGGACAGTGACCAGCTCTCAGAAATGTAAGCAAAAGCCGCAGCCCAGTAGGTCCTTCTGCCTTAAGTAAAACATCTGTAGCTCTCAAGAGCCACAGAGTCGGGATTCTCAGCTTTGCTGCCCAGGCGCCTCTGCTTCGGTTGACTCAGCCCTGCCGTTGGAACAGGTAGGCGTCCAGAGACAACAGGACTAAAGGAGTGTGGTCGGGAACAAGGACACTATTTGCAAAAACAGCCAGCCTGCCAGATTTGTCCGCAGGCCATAGCTTGCCCATTCAGTTCTAATGAAAGTACAAATTCAGTAAGCAAATGAAGACTCTGTATCCTGGCAAGACACACCCCACCACCAGTGGTGCTTCCAGGGGCTACATAGCCACTTCTTCAGGGGCTGTGGGAAGAATGGACTGACGCCATCCTCCCTTTTCCCGAAAACAGTCTATCTACCTGTGTGTGGCACACTGTGGCTCTTTTCCCCACTAATGTGGCCGATTTTTACTCTAGGTAAACTTGGCATAACATTAAAGTTCACACACTGGAGGGGACAGAGGGGAGACAAGAGAGGACAATGAGGTAGTGCAAATATGATCAAGTACACTATACACACGCCTGCAAATGCATAATCAAGTCTACTCTTTTTATTTGTTTGTTTATTTATTTATTTTTTGTTTTTTGAGACAGGGTTTATCTGTGTAACAGAGCCCTGACTGTTCTGGGATTTGATTTGTAGACCAGGCTGGCTTTGAACTCACAGAAATCTGCCTGCCTCTGCCTCCCAAGTACTGGGATTAAAGGTGTGGCCACTACACCTGGCCAAACCTACTATTTTGTACAATTAATACATACCAACAAAAAAGGCTCGTCCCTGGGGGTTCTGAAGTGTCACTTGTAACCCATAAAGGACCTGCTCTGAGGCATGCTAGGAGATGACCAGACACCCTCACTTCCAACGGGATCCAACAGTCAGAGCAGCAACTGACTGACCAGGAGAAAACTGTGAGAGCAGGATGTCAGAGGGACAAGGATGCCATACAGTGGGCCAAACAGGGACAGGATGGGTCGGTGGCTGGAGGGATGGATGTGATGGCCACTCCCTATCCCACACCTGAAATCCTGGCTTCGGAGTCAAAGTCCTAGGGATAAGTTCTACTGGGAGGATGTGAGCCACATGCTGCCTATGGGTCGCTGAAGAGTAGGGGTAGTGGTGAGGGGGTCTTTTTCTTTTTTTCTTTTAAGACAAGTTCTCATATATCCCAGGCCGGCTTTGAACTTGTTTTCACCTTGAACCTATGATCCTCGAGTCTCCCCTCTCCGGTGCTGCGATTGCAGCTGTGTGGTGCTGGGGGTAGAACCCAGGGCTTTCTGAATGCTAGACAAGCCCTCTACCAACTGACCTACAGCCGAGCTCAGTTCTTCCTTTTCTGTGATCCAAGAAGCCATCATCTCTCTCAAGAACATACATGGAAGAATAAAGACTGAACTAGAGCAAGGTCGCACTAAGAAGAAGAGGACTACCAAGCATGGCACCCGCCGTTGCAATACTCACATTCAGCCCCACAGCTGAGCTTCACAGCTGGTCTGCATGGAACCCCATTCTGAGCATGCTGAAGGCAAGCACACAGGTCCGTCTGAGAGCCAGTGAGTCTTCCCTGAGCAGACACCTCTCTCTGTTCACCCTCTCTCAGATTCTGTGTCTTCCTAGTGGCACAGTCCGGTCACCTGGCATTAGGTTAGCCTCTGGGACCCAGTTTGAGGCAACACAGTCTAGAGTAGACCACAGCTTTGTGAATAAAAGTTTAAAACTGGGAAAGAAAAGGCCAGAGAGCCCTGCACAGATAAGGGCCAGTTGTTTTGTTTTAAACGTGTGCGCATATTTTAGATCTTGATACAGAATGGATTTCTTAATGTTGTGTGCTGCAGTGCAAAAGAGAAAGACTCCATGCAACAGAGTTCACATGGAGGGCTAAAAAGAAGGAAGGGGAGGGGAGAGACCGGCTTCTAGGGGCAGTAGCAGCAGAAGAGAAAAGAGAGGCAGAGAAACGGGGGGGGGGGGTGTCAGAGAGAGAAAGAGAAAGTGAGAGGTGGGCAGGGCCCTTTTAAAAGGGAATGTAGGGAATGTGCACGGAAGGTGCCCTTAGTGGCCTCAGCTGAGGATGGATCCTGTAAGGACCCCAAGGGCAGGCCAGTCCAGATGTCTGAAAACTAACATTCCCCCTTTTTATTTACTATAAGAAGGAGAGGAGTTAGACAGGGGTAGTAGGTGAGGCGGGGGTGAGGACACCGTGTTCTCCAGACTACTTCCTGCTGACCTGGGGGCACATCGTTCATCTTTGGGAGACCTGAGAATGCTGGGGTGCTGGTCACTTCCTGGAGTATCTGGCTCTTTCATTTCCCTGCCCAGGCCCTGTGGAACCGTCAGGCACCGCTGGGACCTGGCAAAATGCTGTTTGCAGTAGATCTATGTCAACTCCCTAGAGCACCTGATCCTTTCCATCACCACGGCATCACCGGACACTCTCCTATCCTATTTACCAGGATTACTGAGGGCAGTCATTTTAGAGTTGGAATCTTTTAAATAAAGGAACAGTAAAGAGTTACATTAGAAGCTGTTCTGTGAGTCTCTTTTCTGAATCTGGATGGATGTGAATACCTCTGGGGTGCTGTTGGTTCTCACCACTTGGACGTATTTAGTTGTCTTGTGCCTCCAGTTCTGCAGCTAACAGTTGGTAGTCCTGTAATAGCTGATTAGAAATGGTCAGAGATGTTTGAAGTACTGTTGGGGATATATAGAAAAGAAATTGAAGCAGAGAGTTGTTGCGGGAGGTCCTCCCACTCCTCCAGCCTATCACCGCTGAGGTACCAGCCCATTGGGGCATGGTTTCTCTCCCTTTAAAAAAGCGGCCACTTCCCTCTCCTCTCTCTTTCACTTCCTGCTCCGCTGGCGACTAGACTCCTTTCCTGGTTGCGTAGAGGGCTGTTGCCTGGGACAGTGATCTGTAAGTTTTTCCCCTTTAAATAAATACCACTCTAATAATCATAACCCCGAATTGGTGTGGCATTGTTTGTGACTTACGCCTTCATTTTGGCACCCAACGTTTGGTTTCAGAACCTCTCCTTTCCCCTCTCGCAGCCGCGAGTTCGGCTTGGCGGCCATGAGTTCGGCTTGGCGGCCGCGAGTTTGGCTAGGCGGGAGCCCTCCCTTCCTCAGCCGCCGCCTGTGCCTTGCAGCAGCGGCCTTGGACTCCCCACGTGGATTTAAACTCCACAGGCCCGCATAGTCTCTGCCCATGTGGTTTGCTCTTTTCTGAGTCATTTTTAAATCTCCCTTGCAAGTACAGCTCTTAAGTGGCGCGAACCAGAGCACGCAGTTGCTGAAAGCTGCAACCCCTCAGGGTGACTGTGTCACGTGGAGGCATAAGCGGCTTCCAGATTGCTCTTCTCTACCCCTGGATTCTGGGTTTCTGGTTCTGTCTCAGGAATTGATTTAATTACATTTACTTTGTTGAGAAACTTGCATTTTCCAGTTTTTAACATCTACTAAGGCACTGAAACAGGACCATGTTTTCACCGCGACTCTGCAACAGCGCCACCTGCTGG